TTATGGAGAAAACCAAGTCAAGTGAGCGTTTTAGAAAGTGTGTGCTTCCGTATCTGAGATTTCTGATACCTTATGTGTCTTGGTGAGGTGTCTTGGTGAGGTGTCATGTGTGTTCGGTGCTCGAGGGCTCTGAATGCGCCCATTGTGATAAATTTCCAATGCGAAAGCTCTGTTGAGGGGCAAGCATCTGCATCTCGTGGTTCGGGTCCCACTGTTGCTGAGGCACAGCATAGACTCAGATTGTGGGGTTCACAGGTCGAGCTTGCAGAAAAGTTTGAGAAGGGTATGGACCTTTTGAAAGCTTCTGCTGTGAGCTCAGGCGCTCGGCGGGATCCAGACACTCTTTCTCTTCAGTCATCTGATCCCGCGGATAGCACTACATTGGGCTCATCTGGTGAAAGTGAAGACATGGATGTGGTTGGTGGTGGAGATGAGATTGTGAGCACTGAATCTTCCCAACCTAGCTCCAGTCCTGCATACAGGGAAATGTTGGACGTAATGGCGTGCGCTACTAAGAGGCTTGATTCAGTCTGGTCACGCTAAAGGCAGAAGCCTGCCCATGGCAGATTATACAAGCAATTTCTAGCCGGTCATGAAATCCCCTCCCCCAAGATTCTCCCCTTTCTCCCTGACCTCCACATGGAGTTAGTGAGATCGTGGGACAAGCCATATTCAGCTCGTCTGTATCTCTTTCAGCATGCGAATTATGCTAATGTTGAGGGTGTGGCTGAGCATGTATATGCGAGCCGTGCTCTCTGTTGAGGAGACGTTTGCGAGCTCTCTCTCCCAGGGTAAGTCATCTTCTTTAAAGGGGTCATGAACTGAGAAATCAAAATTCCCTTGATCTTTTGACATATAAGAGGTCATTGCCTGTAAGTATTAGAACTCAAAACTTTCTTGTTAGTCTAAAAACAGCTTCTATTGAAGCTAATCTGCCAAAATGACAGGTTGTGGAATGTGCCTCTTTATGACGTAATAGTAATGGCTAAACCGCACCTCCATAGAAGATCAACGCCAGCTTCTACATCACTGCCTGTTTAGCCCCACCCACCGATTCGTGCATATAGTAGGTAAATGACGAGAGAGGCAAACGCAGGTCTACGCAGAAACCACACGATAAAGATGGCTCTGAAAACAACAAAATGCTGTGCAGTGCCAAATTGTGGAAAAACACATTCTTTGCATTGCCTTCCTTCTGATCCTAACTTTAGGAAAGAGTGAAGAACTTTTATTTTTTATGAAGATCCAGACCACGTCAGTAAAACCTTGTTCACTTCATTTTACCGCAGATTAATTTACAAACAAGGCACAATTTGACGCAGGATTTTCAGAAAGATTGATACTAAAAGAATCTTGCAGATATCGGGAAGAAGGAGAAATCCTTTCTTCTTGATGCTCTGCTCTCGCTTTCAGGGCTTTTCTGCACTTCCGTCGAGGTGGTGGTCGAGAAGTTCAGGAAGGCAAAGGCGCAGTCCGCTGCTTCCAGGAAGTTCATTCCCCGCTGTCCCAAGTCTTCCTCTAAAACCTCTGAGGAGCTGGTCCGTCTCGATCTGAGGATCATAGACAGGATCAGAAAAGCATCATGGCCACTCGTGCCCCTCCTCCCTCTAGGGCTCTGAGGCTGGACTAATGATGTTCTTATGTGTTCTCTGGCTAGCGAACCACTGACTGATGGTCCGGCCTCTCTCTTGTGATGTGGGCTTTTTTCAAGTACTCTCAGTGGTCGGGCTGTCCCTCTTATCAGGTTTTTTTTTTTTCAAATT